TACGATGTCAACTACTTATGTATATGTTGTGATTTGCTGGTGTGAAAGTTGTTATTATCTTCTGTGCAGGTTGTCATTGGACTGTGTTGGTTTGTCACTTGGTTATGTATAGGTTGTAATTACCTTCTGTTCATGTTGTCATTCGGTTTAGCGTGGGTTGTCATTGGCTGTTGTGCATGTTGTGAATAACACAAATGTAGGTTGTGATTGGCTGATGTGTAGGTTGTGACTGTATGGTGTGCATGTTGTCATTTGCTTTAGCGTGGGTTGTTAGTGGCTGCTACTCAGGTTAGTGGCCTGTGTTGGTTTGTCACTTGATTATGTATAGGTTGTAATTGTATTCAGTTCATGTTGTCATTCGGTTGAGTATGGGTTGTCATTGGCTGCTGTACATGTTGTGAATGATGCAAATGTAGGTTGTGATAGGCTTATGTGTAGGTTGTGATTGGACACTGTGTATGTTGTTATTTACTACTCTATGTTGTCAATTGGAGAAATGTACGCTATCAACTGGTTATGTATATGTTGTGACTGGCTGGTGTGAAGGTGGTTATTGTCCTGTGTGCAGGTTGTCATTGGCCTGTGTTGGTTTGTCACTTGGTTATGTATAGGTTGTAATTGCCTTCTATTTATGTTGTCATTCGGTTTAGTGTGGGTTGTCATTGGCTGCTGTGCATGTTGTGAATGACACAAATGTAGGTTGTGATTGGCTGATGTGTAGGTTGTGACTGTATGGTGTGCATATTGTTATTGCTTTAGCGTGGGTTGTTAGTGGCTACTACTTAGGTCAGTGGCCTGTGTTGGTTTGTCACTTACTTATGTATAGGTTGTAATTGCCTTCTGTTCTTGTTGTCATTCGGTTGAATATGGGTTGTCATTGGTTCCTGTGCATGTTGTGAATGGCGCAAATGTAGGTTGTGATAGGCTTATGTGTAGGTTGTAATTGGCTACTGTTTATGTTGTCAGTGGCCTCTCTGCATGATGTTATTGTTGTATATCTAAGTTATCATTTACTTCATATGCAGATTTATTGCCTACAACACTTTCCTCTCGGAAAAGAAAAGGCCGCAAAAAATGAGAATGCCATTAGTTATTGGGATGAGGGAAAAGTGAAGTCAAGAGTGAAATTAGAAAAGAATAGTGACAAAGGCATACTACATGGCGGTCCGAGTGTCGGTGGGCCTTCAACAAGTGCATCCAACACAGAAATAAAGCTAACCCACCCTGTAAGTAAATCATGTCAAGCTTATTTTGGTACTGTGTACAATTTGGAGTAATGATAACTTTCATTACTGTTGTTTTGCAGGAAATCAAGAGAACGTATGAAAGGTTGATGACCATGGTTGAAGGGTTGGTGTCGACAATTGAAGAAGAGTTGGTTTCCCTGCAGGTGAGGTTAACGGATGAGATTGAGAAGGAAGATGTGGTCGAAGCAGTACGTAGCGAAGATGAGAAAGAAAAGGCAACTAAAGATGAAGAAACCGATCAATAAGGTAAAGGAAGCCCAAAAGATTCAACTCTGTCACAAGAGGAACAACGTAGTGAACCAGAAAGAGATGATAAAGAAGAGGGTAAAAGTGCTTCGCATGAAGAAGAGAGTCAATCTCAACCTGAGGAGAAAGGAGAGGGGAGTGACTCTAGATTAGAGGATGATAGAGAAGAAAAAACTGAAGACAAGTCTAGTGATGCAATAGCAAAAGAGGATAAGGGTGTAGGCGATGATATGGAGGGAAAGGATGAAATGGACTAGGAAGCACAAGGGCAAATGGATGTAAGAAGATCAACACGGGTGAGAAGCCGTCAAATCAAATCTCCCTGGTTAGAGGAGGTGAAAAAAGCCCGTGGCAAGAGAAAACCTGACGAGAAAGAGGAATTATTCCAGATGTGATCAAGATGAAGGTGCCAAGTAAGTGTTGGGACTGATTGTAATTAGGATAACTGACTGTCAACAATTTTACACATACAACTCTTGTGCTTATTGTTCCCTTTGCTGCAGGTACATTGTAGAGATGTATGAGTACTTCTTGACACGTGCTGAGCTTTGCTACCTACAAGACAGGAAAAGGATGAACAACAGGGTAAGACAATTGTTTATATAAATAGAGAACTAGCAATGTCATTATGATTATGACTAACTGTTTGTACCTGTGATATAGTTCATGTCTATGGTGGCAAGAACCTTGGTGGGAGATGAAAAAGAGAACCACGGTTGTGTCAGTAGGCATATTTTTTCACCCGATTTAATGCAAACAATGGTCGCTAATCCTCTTAGGTAGAGCCTGGAAAAACATGAACATGGAATCTTGCCGGAGCACATAGGATCTAACATTAGAGACAGTGGCTTCATATTTGGCCCCACCCTTTTCAATTACCATTGGTTTTGTTATGTGATGGATGTAAGAACTATGCATTTCTATGCCCTTAACTCCTTGGTGGACAATTTGACCATGTTGAAAATACAAAGAGAGGAAGAAGAAGCAATGAAAACAGGGAAGAAACCACAAAGGAAGCAAGGGAAAAGGAAAGGACAGATAGATCCTAAGCAATTCATGGCAAGAGGGATTGTATGCACAAGTTTACATTCATTCTATAACTTGTTAATGCTTTATGGTTGCTTGTCTACTTAATTGTCTTGGTTGTTAATGCCTGCTGATTACTTGTCATTCGCTACTGTGAAGGTTGTTAATGTTTCCTGATAACTTGTCATTCACAATTGTCAAACTTGTTTCTTCTGTTTATCCCTTTTTTGCAGAGAGATTGTTTTTGCCAAGTGCTTTGTGTGCTGAAGCCATCATTGTTTGCGAAGGAGGACAAGATTGACAAGGAAGTCACATGGGCAAAAGTTCATGTGCAATTGACACGTGAGTTATTATTCTGCACAACAAGTACTTGTGTCTCAGCTTTTGGGAGCTAATGTTCATTGACTAAAGTCCTTGTTTTTCCTTTGTAGGGACTCTTGTGGGGTTCATGTGTTGAGCTGGTTACAAACATGGGACGGCACTGAGTATGGTGACGACGGCTACATAATGCCTAAGTACTCCCCTGAAGAAATCCATGACTTGAAGGTTGGATGCTTGTGGTGGCTCATGACTCATCAAAACAACTTGCATGGCGATGAAGGGCTGTCTTTGCTATGAAAAAACCCCTAGAGCAAGAGGAAGAAATAAATGACGAGCATATATTGTATTTACTTTTATTTATTTGACAGCATAGTGACATCTGAACGTCAAGTTCACATTTTATTCTTTTCTTTGACAATGTAATGACAGCTGGATGTTAAGATATGCTAATGTGTATTGATATCCTTTACTGGTTATCAAGTTTTTGTAAAGGCATTCATGTGTTTTCATCATGTCCAGAAATGTAGACTGAATAAGACTGGATAAACAAATGGTGACCATGGTGACATGATAGGCATATATCAGAGTCCTCTCTGTCACATCTATTTACAACCTCAACAGGGGTTGTTCACAATCGTAACATAATTGATTAACAACATTGGCAGTGCCCCTGATAACTTACTCGGGGGATAACACAACTCTTAACTGAATTATATTATCAGCATATATAACAACCTTAATAACAAAAATGGGGAGCATTTTAAAGTCATTAACAACTTTAACTGAACCAAATATGATTGCAGCAGATTTTTATTGTAGCAATTCATTTACAACCTCAACAGGGATTGTTGACAACTCGAACATAATTGGTTAACAACCTTCGCATTGCCCCTGACAACTGACACTGGGGATACCACAATCTCCAATTAACATTAAATTCTAACCAAATCATATCATGTTATGACTTTAACACAACTTGGATGTCTTAAGAAATCATTGAACACTGGAAGTAGGAGTAATTGTCACTTTATATCAGTAACATAATTGAGACTGCCAATGACAACCTGCATGGCATCTGATAACAAGTCCATTACAACCTATTGACAAGTACATCAAAAATACAGAAATGATGTTATATCAGATTACAACTAGGTGTCATTTACCACTTGATATATATATGTACAATGTAACTACACCAAGTTTACAACCTATTCAAAAAAGCATACGGGTTGCACGTGTGGATAATGACGGACAACTTGAGGTTTAGGTTATGACATTTACAAAAAAGTATTGTCACAAGCATTCACAAAACGAAATATCAATAAGCCACCAACAAAGCTAAACTTGGATTGGGGTTCTGGGTAAGTATTCATAGTGTGGCCTGGCTCATGGCATCTTTTATAGTGGTAAAGTTTTTTGCTTTGAAATTGAGATTCAATCCTTCTTTTCTTTGGCCTCCTTGAGGGTTTTTTAGTGATTGGTGGCTGTAAAAATGTTCCCGTCATCATCATGTGTCGCAATTGGCCTCATACTACTTGCATATATCTTCTCTTGGGCTGACAGCTTATAGCAATCATCTACAAATTCATAAACACTACCATGAAGTAGCTTTATCGCTGCACATGCATGAACACAAGGTACTCCGCTCATTTGCCATGCTAAACAAGTGCATTTGTGTGTTGTGAGATCAATAGTGACACAGATTATTCCAGTAGGAGATGTAGTATGAACTTGAACTCGGTTATCTCCATAATATACACTATGCATATTCTCCGCTCTTGCTACTTTTTCTTGCAACTTGGACTCAATATTTGGCCTAATGCCATTTGTCTAATTTCCCATTGCCATTTTGCTTGCAACCATCTTCTTGGCTAATTTCTCCATATGCTCATGTATGAGAACTGACACATTGTGCTTCCTCTCCTTCAAAATCCAAGCATTAAACAACTCTGCAACATTAGTGGTGATGTTATCCCATCGTTTAAACAGAAATTTGCTTAAAGCCCACCGATCTACATCTTCTTGAGTGTCAACCCAATCAGCTAATTGTGGACAAAATGATCTAAGTTTCCCTATTGCAGCAACATATTCATCCTTAATCCTTGCATAGGCAATTCCATCCAGCATTTTCAATGCGACGTCCTTTGAAGTACCTGAAACTCATCCCCTGCCTCGGTTAACTTTTAAATAATGTGCACTAAAATTTTCTTTCACATTCCTATAGCAAAAAGCATGTCTCTCGCCACCAAATACTATCCACACAGCACCTATAATGGCATTATTTGGATATGAAACTATCGTTGTCTCTACTGATCTTGTGATGTCTTTGACATTCTGGAGAAACCAAGCCCAATCATCATATGTCTCCCCACTGACTATAGCATATGCTAATGGAAACAGTTCATTGTCCGCATCATATACATTAGCTGAAATCAATGTCCCCCTGTAAGGACCACTTACATGACATCCGTCTATATAAAATATATGTCGAGACCCTTCTAAAAATCCATTAATTAAGCATCCATAAGCAATGAACACCCTCTCAAATTTGTTACTATCCAACCCTTCCCATTGAGCAATTGTGTTTGGATCAGTTTCAATAAGCCTTTCACAAATCCAGGGAATCATCATATATGAATCTTGTGCACGACCATGTATTTCCCTCAATGCTCTTTCTCTACCCCTATATGCTTGACTATAATTCAGTCGCACCCCATATTTTCTATACAAATCTCTTCTAATTTCATTAGCATTCTTGTCTATATTACACTTCAAAGAATCTGTCATGATTGATGATGTTAAGTTTGATCTTCCAGAGTGAGATACAACCAAGTTGTCCTGTGCATAATACACATGCTCACTTCTTAAGGTTCTAATTATTAAGAACTCAGAATCTTGTCTTTGTCCCATTGAGTATGCACCGATATACCACGGGCATCCCTCCGCTATACACTTCACAATGATCTTTTGTTGATTGTTCTTCACAAATTTGTATAAAAACTTCACAGCAATACTGTACCTATATAATGCTTATCTAAGGGCCACTGCATTAGGAAAAATTTGTCCTTCTCCAATAACCAAACCCTTCCACTTTGTTGAATTCATCTCCAGAATTGGGGTTGGCATCATTTCTAAACCACATGGCAATGATAGTGGGTTTTCACTAACCACATTAGGTGGAGACATGGACAATGCATCTGAACCTCCAAGCAAGTCTTCCATCCTACATAACAAAACAAGTCAAGGGGTCGTTAATGACAACCTTCGATCACTATAATAACAACTTATGCACAAAAATTGACAATAGCTAATATTACTTCGAAATTTAAATAACACAACTTACACATGTTGCTCTTCTATTACAACATCCCTTGTTAGTTGTGAATTTTGATCTCCATTTTCTCCTATATATACATGACCACTGTCACCATTGAAGTTAATCAAATGTTCTACTCCTTTATCATCTACAAGGTCCACAAATGTACACTCATCAAAGGTTACTATAAATTTCATAACCATTCCGTTACTTTCTTTTCCCACAATTAATGCTACCATTGTTCTAAATTCTCATATGATGTCCTTTCCTTTATCATTCTTGTTCTCACACCACCTCCAACATATTGCGTTTCACCTTCTACACCATTAATAAATTGTTCTCCTGTATGGAAGTAACAAAACAATTTCTTCCCACTTGAAGTTGCCATCCTTGATATCAACCTGCCAAAATCACTTGTTAATAACAAGTCATACAGTTATATTAACAACCTTCAATGTACCTATTAACAACACATTTAATCATCGCATTACAGGGGTTACAATAATTAATATCTGTTATTTTCTACTCATTTTCATTAGCAACACAGCATCAATGATCGAAAAACAGAGCATCATTCACTGAAAAACAGAGCATTGCTTTCTAACCTTAGCCACACATAGTAAAACCACACCTAAGATGATTAAAACCACATATGACTAAAATGAGCCTCCCTTAATACTTCAAGTGAGTTGAATCACATCCTTAACACCCACATATCCACACCCAATCAACTTTTCAGACCAACATTAAACTTGAGACTGGTTTTTAATAACAAGTCATACAGTTATATTAACAACCTTCGATGTACCCATTAACAACACATTTAACCATTGCATTTCAGGGGTTACAATAATAAATATCTGTTATTTTCCACTCATTTTCATCAGCAACACAGCATCAATGACTGAAAAACAAAGCATCATTCATCGAAAAATAGAGCATTGCTTTCTAACCCTAGCCATACATAGTAAAACCACACTTAAGATGATTAAAACCACATATGACTAAAATGAGCCTCCCTTGATATTTCAAGTGACTTGAATCACATCCTTAATACCCACATATCCACACCTAATTAACTTTTCAGACTAACATTAAACTTGAGACTGGTTGTGTACAAAAGAAGAGAAATGTTGTTAATGATAAGACCTACCAAGAAGATGAAGAAATAATATAGTTTGCCTGCAATAGAGTACCAACGCATACCTCCCTTCTTTCTTTCAGAAGCTTCTCTTCCTAATGCATGCATAACAAACAAGCGCACTAAATAAAGCCAATCAGCGTCTCTCCCTCTCTTCTTTCCTTTTTCAATGAGTGAGGGCAAGTAGGTAACATCACAATTGAAATTATTTACCTAGAGGTCCCTGGGGATTTAGGAGGAATTTGGGGATTTCATGGGACCTTTCGATAGTAAATTCTCTTCTGTGGGACTCTACAGTAATTTTTCCTAATATTTATTAGCACAAAAATATGAATTATAATCGATATTGAAAGAATCTCTGGCTGACTCTTTTTTTGGTTTTACCAGAAATCTTGCGCATTCTTGTATGCATAGAAATATGTAGCTCATTTGCCATGACCAAGAAATCTTCAAATTAGATAATATACATATTGTAAACTACCCTCTCCTCCCATCTATATAAGAAACATTTGACTGTATTACATAGATAAAAAAATTAGTTAAAATCAATTAAAAAAAATAAAAATTGTAAAAATTGTAAATTTTTTCCCTTAAAAGATACTCTTATTTATGAGGAAAAAAAAGTATAGGAGAGAGAACAAGAAAATGAATAAATGTATTTTAAAAAATGAGATAATAAATATATTGAATATTTAAACAAGTAATTTATGAGAATAAATTAAGAAACTAACTAAAAAAAAAGTTGAGACATTTTGCAAATGTTTCTTATAAATAGGAACAAAGTAGAGATGACAAGTTCCTTATAAAAAGTGATGGAGTGAGTATTAGCCCATATATTTCAAACTAAATTATTATACTTTTCCTTTTTCTTGCCAAGTTTAAATAGAAAATAAAATTGACCAACAAATGCAGGTGACCATCTAGACACTATATCTAAAAGTGAAAGACCAAATTATTTAGAATCAGAGAACTAATGGAGATTTTGTTTGGGAATCATTTTCCACTTCAAAGCAGAAAATCAAATCACAGCCACGTAAGTAACAAAAATCACAAAGGAGATAGATGACACCACAAACTGTCTCAAATATACTACTAACAGGTCATAGTCTTATTGATCTTTTAAAATAACAATCAAACAACATGAATTAAATTCCAGCAATTAAAGTTTACTGGCATGGATTAAGGCATGCTTACAAAATTGGAGTATTAACTTTACAAATAAAAGCATCAAATTCCAATTATTGAGAAGCAAAATGTGAATATTAGAGACCATGTGATCTATAGCAACAAATTAATTCATATACAAGCTAATAAGCTAAGATGAATAGAAAGGCGTGTAGATTTCATGGTCTAGAATCTAGATATCATTGCAGAACTTAAAGAAGGAAAAAGGAAGGGAAAGAAATCACCTTGCTATTACAAAGATGCTCAGGATTTGAATGAGACTGGAACACAAGTCTGGGGGAGTGCCACTCAAGATAAACCAAGAAATCATTAATTTGTCTGTCGTCAGCATCTTCAATATTGAGGAAATTAGATGCTACGGAACAATGCCAATGGATTGACAAGCTACAAACAATCAATTGTCTTTAACAGATGCAAACAGTAGCGATGCATTTGTTCCTCTAAAACCAAAAGAATTTGACATTGCTGCTCTTATTGGCATCTCCTTCGAAGAGGTCAAAGGCATGAAATTATCATCAAATACAGGATCGGGCTTAGTTAGATTAAGAGTTAATGGGGCAATTCCCTGCCATGATACATCATAGGAGCCATTCTAGTATATTAAGCATACAGGATGGGCTTTATAAAGTGCACAGAAACACGGTCAAGAAAGCTTACATGGTGTACAGCCAAAACTGAAAATATTGCTTCAACAGCTCTGGCAGCACCTAGCAAATGACCAATAGCCCCCTGAAATTAGGTTTATAAAGACAGTCATGGGCTTGATCAAGCATGCTTTGGAAGGAATCCTAAAATTGATTATTGAATTAGGAAGTGATGTTTATAAATTTCTTTTATGCGACTTGTATTTTTTTCAAAGTCAGTCCAAAAGTCTTGAATCCATCTCTTTTTCTCCCATTGAAATTCAAATATTCATTTATTATTTTTGTTACTAAAGCAATGATAATAAATCTAACTCAAATTGAAACCCATCATCAGCGCTCTTCAATGGTCCAGCCTCCCCTCAAACGGCTATTTTTTTTTCCTTTGGCTAGAGTATCGTCTATATTTTTCACTCTACATAACTTCTTGTATGAACTATCGATATCGCACTTTGGAGATTTGTAAATTTTTTTGAGGAAATTCCATTCATTGGGAAGGTGTTCATTAGAGATTTTCATTTTTGGCATCAACAAAAGAAAATCTAAATGCGAAGTAGTAGCTATCTCTCACCCAGGTTTGTACCTGTATCTTAGGGCATTAATAATTTTGTTTGGTGAGGAAATAGATGAATTAGGGAAAGCACAATTCATAATTCAAGACTAAGAAACTAAAACTCACCCTAGATTCTCTCTCCTTTCCGCGTTATGTTTTGCTGTAGTGATCTCAGTTCTGATCTTATTTTATGCATCTTGTTGCTCTGATAGTGTTTGTCTTTCGTAGTTGTAACTTTAATTCGTAGTTCTGTCTCTGAGATTAGGGCATCAATCTTCTCAAACGCCATATTAGATTAGTCTTCAAATTCAAAAATTTTAACTATATTGCAATTTATTTCTTTTATCTTAATGCTATTTTGAAATCATATTGTATATCGGATCTAGATTCTTGTGATAAAAAATCTCACTGAAGTCAAGGAATAATATTTTTCTAAATATGCTTCTCCATGCTACTCAGATGGTTTGATTTTTGCCTTTCGTTTGTGATTTCACCAAAACAAGTTTATTTGTTTCAAAAATAGTATCAGCTTCCATTTTGGTTTGTTTGATGTATATAATAATAGCTTGTACTATCATATCCACGTGTTTATGATCAAATGATCATTTTTGCATATGTTGATCAAACTTGATTTGCTAACTTCATTTAGAGCACACATCCTTTTTTTTTGGCCAGATATAGCACACATCCTTATTCCTAGAGAGAGTAAATAAAATTAGACAGTACTCTTCTTGTTAGACCATACAATTTGATAACTATTAGTGTCATTACCTATATAGCTTAAGAACTAGAATAGTTTTGTGTACAGCCTGAGGTATTGAAAGCAATATGAAAGAGTAGTAACGATCAATAAAATGTGGTGTATAGATATAGTGATAATTAAGCTGGATTTATGAGTTTATAGTACCCAATTTCATCTGCTAGGTATATTGTTAAAAGTTCATCTACTAAAATTCAAAAGCATAAAAATTTATTCATATTATCAAAAACAGCTTTCATACTTTTGTGATATGTATCTTTTGATAGTTGTGAATTGAAGCTAGGACCAATAAAATGTGAATGCATATATGATGG